AACAACTTAGCATATTATACTAAAGACAAAAGAAATGCAAATTACATTAAGATTCAGCAATACAGATTTAAGCTAAATAAAAAAAATAATAAAATTATTATTCTTTTAGAAACTAATTTACAAAAAAAGTTGTATTAAATTTAGAAAAATTAAAGTTAGTATACATAGAACACTTAATTAATAAAGAAAAAAATTAAATAATTTTTTAGTACTAACTTAAGATATTGCAAAATTATTTATATAAAAACAAGCAAGAAGTATGGTTTATTAAATTAAAGAAAAAGGAGTGTGGTAATCTAGTAAAGTGATCAGGTTGTTAACCCCCCAAGTGGTAGATTGAGTGTTCAAATCCTATTGATAGCGAAAATTTGGATAACCACCTATATAATATTTATATTATAACAACTGTTACTAACGATTGGGTTAGAATACCTGTAATGGTGGTCATACCAGCATAACTGGCAGATTATGGGGCATCTGTGTAATGTTGGAGTTATACAAAGAAATGCAAACTGACATATCAGGCAGTGCAAACACTAGATAAGTTCTTGTGGCCATATAAATTCATTGAAATTGGGTAACAAGAAGTCTATTTGGAAAGACCTGAGTAGAGAGGTAGCTGGATATTCGATGGCCTTACTGTAAAGGCTAGCTTGGTAAAATGGATATCAAGATCTAGTACCTGGTTCTAGTAGCCAGATGGGCAAGAATCTTCAGGTTGGAAGTCTCAGAAGTACCACCCACTTAGGCTGCTAGAAAAAACTAAAGAAAAAAGATATTGGGCTGACCTGATATATCGATGGACTGGTCATAGTCCTACACGGGCTATCTAGATTAGAAGTTTAGTAAAAGAGCAGGGGAAAAGGCAGAGATATACTAAAGTACCAGGGTTATACTGTGAAGTAGATGCTGAGGTCTAAGTAAACTCTACAAAGGCATAATGGTTTAATGATTAGCCCTGACCACAAGTGTTGGTTCTGTTATAGCAATACCTAGGTTAGCTGTAAAAATGGATACAGAAGGCTCTAAGAGGTTTACCTCAAGAATAAATTAGTCCTAAGGTTGAGGATGATGATCTGGATATCTGAGATGACCAGTAATATTAACACAAGTTACAAGTTCAGAGGATTTAAAGTAGAACATCTAAGCAGAAGTGTTAGGTATGGCAATTGGTAGAGAACCTTCAGGCAGACTTCTTAAATAGGTAATATAGAAAAGTTACACATATAGCCAATTGTATGCTCACCTGTAGTAGTTCATTGAACCACAATACCGATAAGTGATTAATAAAAGTCAAAAGACCAAAGAGGTTATCTTAAAAAAAAAAAAAATAAATTTAAATTAGAGAAAATTTTTTAGAAAATAGTTATAAAAAAAAATTAAAAAAAATATAGCTAGTTTATAAGCTAAATAAGTATGCATTAGAAATACAGACAAAGGCAATATCAAAAGACAGAAGAAAAAAAAAAAGTTCTAATAAAGGCAGAATAAGAGAATAAAAATACAAATTTGATAATTAAAAAAATTATTGTAACTATACTAAAGAAGATTTTAACAAAATATTAAAAGATAAATCTAATTTCAAAAACATCAAGATCAAAGTTAACAAGATGTAAAAGTTATAATTTAGATCAGAATATAAAAAAAGAAAAACAATTTAAATTAGACTAATAAAAACAAATTTAAGAATTAATAACAGAACTTATAAGAAAACAAGAGAATTATATATTAAAACTAGATTATAAAATAATAAGCTGTTTATAAAATAAAAGAACACTAGTACTTAAAAAAGAATGAAAGAAAATTAATATTTAAATTTAGAAATAGAAATTATCTAAAGACAGCTTATAAGTCAAGTGATAAAAAACAAACTTATTAAAAAGAAAAAAGAAAATTAAACAAATTAAAAGAATACTTTATATATTATATAAATGAATCTTTAAAACAAAAAAGAAAAAAAAGAAAAATAAGCTCTAATCATATAAGTGCAGAATAAGTTTAAGTAAATATAAAAGAAAAAAAAGTTCTTGATAAAAGCTTTTTTGAAATATAAAATTAACTATTATCAATAAAACTAGAGCTTTTAAAAATATAATATATATTGTTTATAATATCAAAAAAGAAAAAAATCAGAATATTTACAAATAGTACAGTAACTATTGCTAGTTTAGAAGATAAAAATATAAGTTTAATATTTAAATAATAATTAAAAAAAATTATAATTTTAGTTGAAAATATTAGAAGTAGTATAGACTTAAAAGAATTAAAAATAAAATTAGTCAAAATAAAAAAATAGTATAAATAGATAGAATAATAAAGTAAACAAATTAGTAAAAAAGAGATTGAGAGTAGATAGCATAAATAGAATAATTATAAAAACTTTCTAAGAAATCAATATTAACTTTGTTAAAAAAAGAAAATAGTTAAATATCTCATTAAACAATTTATAAAAAAAATTTTAAACCTTAAAACAAGTATAAAATAAAGATTTATTTTAGCAATTAGAAAGATAGAACTAGATAAGAATACTGAAATTTATGCTTAGTTACATCTTTGAAAGAAAATTAAAGATCAAAATAAAATATATATACAAATATAAAAAAGAATAGACAATTAGAAATATTAATAAAATACTTAAATGAAAGATTATCAGTAGTTAAAACACTAGTACAACAATGTTCTAATCTTTATAAAAAACTAATTTGTATTTTCTGTAAAGAAAACAATGAAGAGAACTAAAACTATTTAGCATTATATAAATATTATAAAAGTAGTTAAAAAATTATAAATAATAATTCAATAAATCTTATATAATCAAATTTATTAAAAAATATTTAAGTAAAAATAAAAAAAACTTAGATTAAAAAAATATTTTAAAACACATATGTAGAAAAATTCATAAAACAAAATGTGAAATAATTAAAAATCTAATAAAGAAAAACTATAGACTTTTTACAAAAGGTAATCTAATCAAGTAAAAAAACTAAAAAATTCTTAATTATACTAATTAATACAAGATAAAATAATTTTATAAATATATATAGAAAAGATTATAGATAGAAATTAACATAAAAACCAAAAAAAAACAAAAAATATATTAGAAAATAATTAATAAAAGAAAAAGAAATTTTAACTAATCATGAAGAAAGTTCTAATAGAATAAAAAAAAATTCAAACTATTGTTAAGACAAAATGAGAAGAAAAAAAAGAAGAAAATAAGAAAATTCAAGAAACATGATTTGGCTCAATAACAAATTTTATATGTAATAAATCAAGACTATTCACATATGACCTTATTGACTAGTCTGATACAACCTCTGAACAAGGATAGAATCCTTATTCAGTGTGGCAAACCGCCTTTGAGCACTTATAAAAGCAGCCAGAAGATGTCAAACCAGAAATCTTAAGTTAAAACGTACAGAAATTATGCACAAGAATCTTAATAAAGGTTACGGCAAAGCTGCCAAAATGGAAAAAAAATCAATTAACAAGTTTTTTAAATCTTTTGTTTATAAATTACAAACCTAATAATAATAATGCAAAAAAAATATTTAATATAAAAGTTGGTTAACCTCTAAACTTAGCAATTAAGGCAATATCGACAAAATAACCAAGTTGAGAATTAATTATTAATTATTTAAAATTTTGAAACTTGTACATGTCACCCCATCTGGGTATAAACATCATATTTTTTTTTAATATAAAATATCAATATAACTAAATATCAATTTACTATAATAACATTTGGAATTTTTTCCAATTTCTAGAAATGTCGACATACCAGAGTAACGTATATACAGAAAATTAATAAAGCTTGGTTACATATATATACTGTATATATTTTTTTATAACCTTTTTTTAGTAAAAAATATAAATAAAATATTTTTAGTATTTGTAAAACAATACTGTAATAATGACAAGCATCGCCTTTTTGGCATAGTTTTGACTTCCTAAAATGAGTTTATTAACAACAAGAAAGTTTACATATTTCATTAGCAAAATTGATTCATGGATACCTATTTTTGAGGTAGAATACGGCCTGCATCCATAAGTTATGAAAGTATGATTACCACGAATTCAAATTTTAGATAAAAATCGTCTTGAGATCAAGGTGTCACGTTAATAACTATAGTAATACACACTTTTGAATTCTACAGGATAAAGCACCTATAATTATGAATACAAGATCAATCAACCTGAATCAGAACAAAAGTGTGAAACCAATCAAGAACTTAGGAACCAGTTTTCTTCGATCTACAGATGTATAACAATTATCTGATTTATCGAAAGAGGTAATTCAAAGTACATACATGATTTGCAGATTTGCGGAGATCTGGATCACATGGTACAAGAATTAATTATAAGTCAAATGAGCTTTATTCATGTAAACACAAAAATTAAGTGTTCTATACTAAAATTTAGAAACGTTTCAAAAACCTGGTGTTATTTACGTACCTGGCAGGATGAATAACTTACACCACACGCTGATATCGTGTTACAAATTAATGCCATGCGGTCACAATTATAAATGCGTGTGTAGGTACAAATATTGCACGGAGAAACCTGTTAATAAAAAGCATCAATCAACATGGTCAATCTTAGGGAGGCAAGTGACAATGAAGATAAACAAACAAGAAGATGTTGGATGGAACCTGAGTAATAAGAAACAATTATTGAGGATCTTGGCAATATCTTGCGTAAAAATGAAGAATCTATAAATTTATGATTCTATGAAATATCCTTTTTTACCCAAGACTTTTCTTGTACACATGGTGACACGACATGGCTTGTATTTGTTTGTTAGTTAATTGTTTGTTTGTTGTGTTATGCGGTGCGACAATATATGTCGAACAATTGACCGTAGGAAAGTAAAGAAGGGATGATAGGAGAAAATAGGATTGAAGAAAAAAAATTTCACTAAATGTGTTACCAAAAGGTTGCTACAGTCTTTCTAAACCTGCTGACAACCTAAGTTATCAAGATTTGGAAAACTATTGAGGATGACAAAAATAAAAAAATTAGTTCCATATGATGTACACACAGGAATCACAAAGAACATAAATAATTCTAGATGGATTTAACTTTCCTCATGCAGGGATGTAGTGTGACATCTCGAAGTCAGAAGGATCAAACATATTTGAAAAGGTAATTCGAGTGTAACTTGTCACTATGTTTACGAATCGATATTTTAAATCGAATTATTTACGATCTTTGGGACCAACCAAAATTTGTGACTTGAATTGTTTATGTTTTTATTGGTAGATAGAAGAATCTTGGCAGATATGTGTTATTGATAATTACCAAATTCAACAATATCCGATAATCCGAAATATTATGCTTATCATGCTTGTTGTAAGCTCAGCAGATGGTAGCATCGCCGTAGGGAAACATACAACAGTTCGACTGCAAATATCGTGCGCCTTAAAACATAGCCTCTGCAGAATAGATTCAAATGTATACATTTATGGTTTGTTTACTCTTAACGATGATCCAATTGAGTTATGATGAAACATAGGCGATCATTGGTTTCGCTTTTTTTGGTTACGTGTTAGGTTACACATCTAAATCTCAGTAATACGTATCAATTTCAAATTGTCATGGTACGTACATAGTGTCAGGATTCGAACATGATCACATGATCTTGTCCGAATAATGCTGTGTCAAAATCATTGCTAATTAAGGGTCAAAATTGTAACCCTTGTGCATCGGAGTCTAAAACAAGTACCGGTATAGTCAGTCAATATTTGGAAATTCATTAATTTCTGAATTCGAATATGAAAATGCCGGTCAATCTTGTAAGATTTTTTTTGTGAATCCAAAAAAAATAAGGACAGCATAGAATCGATAGATCTCATTCGCCAAGTTTTTGGATTTGAGTTAACCATTTTTGAATCGAGGGATATAACATGCCATGTAGATCTGATCGATGTTCTTTATTGACCACGTTGAACAAGTTGGAGAATCTCAAAGCAAGTAGTATAATGCGATTAATTTTCCTTTCTCAGAAGAAATGTGATAACGTGCTAATATATTATATTATGTGGTAAGGACTATCTGTTTTGACACATAAAACAAACTTATGTGAGGCGATAAATGTTTGTATGTGATATTCCGTTCGGACAAACGTTCCAACTACGGAATTACCCGTCGCCACGTAGAATCCAGCCTTGACCACCCGACCCATTACATCCGAACACGCTTTCAGCATGTTGTTTGCTGCTACACCGAAGCCCACATTGCATTTTTTTTTTTTTTTTTTTTTTTTTTTGCGCGGTTATACAATCATGATATAATAAGGACGGGAAACAAGCAAGGGGATTTTCTTTGCATCTAGCAGCCACAAAGTATGTCATGCAAAATCTGCTCGGATCTCATCATCTCACCGGCATTCACTTTTTTGTCAACTTATTTTAGACTATAGTTCCTTAACGTAATGGTATTTGTACATTTTATACTACATTCTACTGCATGAAATATACCCAATGGTCATTTTTGGTTGGCCCTAATGGGAATAAAAATCATCTATTATCCTCATAAAATCATTGACCCGCCACTTTCTCTTTTTATTTAACAGTGTTGCCACTGGTCCATTTGTTCCCGCCCATGTCTTCTGTCATTCTTTGGTGGCATTGAATCTTTGTTCTTTAAATAAAATAGACACAAACTGATAAGCGCACCTTACGCGCTATATTATAATAGTCTTCCTTTTTATTATTATTATTATTATTATTATTTAGAATTCACTTTATTTAGAGTCGTCTTATTAATATTTTATTATTATTATATTATTATTTTATTTTTATTGTTTTTTATAAATATAGAAGTAGGTTTTTTTTTTTTTTTTTTATTAAAACATGAAATTGTCTACACTAAATTTATGACTTACGACCTTTTATCATAAAACAGTTATCGAAGAAAAAATAAAGAAACACCAGCACATCAATATTCAAACAACAATGGATGTTTCCTCTATATGTTCTTTTCCGTCCTTTGGTAACGAAGCGATTCATTCCAGCGCGTCATTTACAAGAACTGATGCGTTGACAAGAACTTTTTCTTCAGATTCGGACAATAGCAAGAGTGTTCTACCTCCAATATCTTCTATCTTATGTCCTTTATCACAATCCGTCCCTGTGAAAACATCCTTGGGCCATCATGATGACTCTTCAATGACTATGCCTCCTTCTTATTTACAATCTTCTACCTCTAAACACCATCCGATGAATTCTGAACCTCGACTTGAGCACCGTACGAGTCCTATTAACTCTCCTTCCGTCATGAATAATGTGTCGGCTTCTCTTGATAATTTATCACGAGGGCAACCTTCACAGCAACAACATGCTCATTGTTTAAGGACTTCACATTCAACTTCACCAAGTCCAAGTTTGAAAGAACAAAATTCACCAGTCGTTCATTCATTATTAAATGTTCGTTCTGGTGAATCCTCTTCATCCCCATCTCAACAGATTTCCGCTCAATCAAAATCCGAAACTGTTGATCATTTACAAGTAGCATGTATGCATCCACCCTCGCTTCCTCCAAATAATGGACTCGTTCATTCTAACGTTCAGCATTCACGACATCGTAATTCATCAACATGGGAGAATCGACAAACATCTCTCATGGTTAATGGTTACCGATCATCTCAAATTCCACTAAGACCACAACCATCTCCAAATCCGACAAATGTAGTAAGTTTACCTGCCAATGATGAATTGAAGCAAAGTCCTGTTCAAAAACCATCAATTCAATATGGTACTAGTAGTTTTCCATCAGAGTATCACCATTATCGCGCCTCTTTTGAAAAGGATGTATATCAATCGGTTTCTTTAAACAGTGAAAAAACTTCAGTTGATTTGAAAAAGGTTTCTCTTCTTTTTTATTTAAAGATTTTTTTGACATATTTCGTTATGCTTTTTTTCCTGATATTTGATACATTCGATCTATATATTCAATATTTGGTATCCAAAAACTTACAATACAATATTATTTTTTAATGTTATAATAGATAATTGACCATTGCTCGCTAATCGGACAATTTGCAGCTCAGTACAGCGATATGCGCAGTCAATCGGGAAGTAGGTCTTTAAATTGGCCTTCAACAATTCCTAATGAACCTAATAGTATTCCTACGGAAGCTCATGTTACAGAAATGATTAATAAAGCTTTTGAAGTACTTTATGTGTTAAATGCTTTAAAAGATGAAACTGTAAATCGTCGTGGACCGGTAAGTATGTTATATAATTTCAATATGTTTATTTTATTTATTATTTACATTGATTTATTATTTACATGAATCTATTATTTATATATATGTAATAATTTATTTATATAAAAAAAAATATATAGAGTGAAATAGAACTCATTAGGAACAAACGGACTACTTCAGGTGTTGCACCAACACGACCAAAATATCGAAAACGAACTGTAAGTACGGACTAAAAAAATGTATGCCTTAATTAATGTTAAAGGTTTAATTATTTTTTATACTTTCCTTTTATAGAAAAGACCTGCTCCTCCAGGAAGATGTCATTCTTGCAACATACAGGAAACTCCTGAATGGCGTCGCGGACCTGATGGTGCGAGAACCTTGTGTAATGCTTGCGGACTGCGTAAGTTTTATATAAAGAATATTTCATCATTCTTACCTATATTTATTAATTAATATTTATTTTTTTGTTTAGATTTTGCCAAGTTAACGCGAAAACGAGCTCAAACAGCCTTGCAAGAACAACAGCAACGCGCTTTACATGCTCTTCATACACACCCCTACGCACCGCAACATATGTTAGCATATTCTTCCAAAATTACGCCATTTCCCGGATTTCCGTCACATCTGATGACTCATGGACAATTATTAACATCGACCACTCATATTACTACTGAAAAATGATTAAAATGTTACGTCAAACCGTTAAACATTTTATATAACATTTTTTATTAAAAAAAAAAAATCTTCACTATATGCGCCAAAAGCAAATTTAATTATGTTAAATAAATTTTTTTTTTGTATATTATTGTATGTTCTTTTTTTTTTCTTTTAAATTATTCATTCATGTCTTCCTCTTCTATGATTAAAATTTGTACTATTTTTTTTTTTTTTAAAAAAAAAATATATATATATCCAAAAGTTAGTTTCATCCATTAAATTAAAAAATATATATGTATATATAAATTGTAAAAAAAAAACCGTTTTTACGCCACATTTATGATTTAGAATTATGAGTTATGGAAAGTATATATATTATATGTAATATATATTAATATATATTGCCTTTTTTTCATTCAGTACAAAATAAAAAATCAATTTTATGCTGGATTTAATTTGTTTTGTGGCGCGTTTTTATTATGTAAAGTGAATATAAGTGAATATATATATATACATGTGTATATATAAACAAAAAATAGCCTTTGTTCCTTATAAAAGGTAAAGTCGCGTTTTTTTTTTTTTTTTAACCATATTTATTTATGACATAATTTAAGTGAGGCGAAGTAGTTTAAAAAAAAAAAAAAATTTCGGGATTATATAAACTGAGAAAACCGCAGGGTTAATTTGGTAAACCGAAATTAAAGAAAATATTAAGTCAGTAAGCCATTTATTTATTTTGATAAAAACTTTTAGCTTGACTTATCGTTACAAGAATGGCTTAGTTACAAAGCCATGATTAATAAATATTGCTTAGGTTTGGCGTTGGCTAATTGCTTAGGATATTCGGGAATTGAAAGTAGATTCACAGATTGATCTTTCGAATAATAATCTCAGAGATCGTGAAATTTTTTTCTTGAAATTACAAAGGCTTTGAATTGACTTAATTAAGTTTCAATATATATTTATATATTTATTATTTATACATACATATACAGTATACAAAAATATAAAAAGCATAGCCGGTAACTTTTTTGATCATAAATTTTAACATTCGGCGTTCTCGCGTTATTTAGTGATCAAAATTTGGATCGCTAGCCACGGAATTGTCCGAAAAAAATTATCGCCTTTATAGTAGACGTTTAGACGCGCCCCTCGGATGTCTCCTAAGAACAATATAGTGAATGATCTTGTATGTTTAGATCAAGAATTCAATTAAGAACTATCATTATCGTCATAGAATGCATGAATCATGAGACTTTACGCGTTTCTTTCATAATTATTACGAGTTTTTTTGTTCGCGGATGTAACGCGATAGTCGCGAAATGATCTGTGTAGGGCGTTGCATTCAGGTTGTAGTCTCGAACTTGCAAGTGAAACGTGGACATTATTGATTTAAAATGATTAGCTTGAAAATATTGTTTCGTATGAATTTAATATATATATATTTTCAAACTTGATTTGAATATTACAATAAAAAAAAAAAAAAAAAGCCTTAGCAGTTTTTATTTAACGACCACTTTTAATATATTGTAGTATTACAGTATTTAATCATTTTTTTAATCTTACCTATTTATTAAATCTATTTCTTTGTACAACAGGAAACTCGACCTGTGATAAGGTCTTATCACCAACATTTAATCCCGCAATAATGACATCACCAGTAAAAATTGGACCAACGCCTGATGGTGTACCTTTATCGATATAATATAATAATCATATAATACAGTATATATGATATATGATATACGATTATTAATTATTATTTATTATTATTTACTATAAAATAATCGATGAATTTTTTGACATTACCTGTTAAGATCAAATCACCCTTCTCAAGCCTCATGATCGAACTAACATGCTCGATCAGTGTTGGAATTTTAAAGACCATATCTTTTGTCGATCCATTTTGTTTTATTTGATCATTAACCTATTAACCATATTACGAAATTAAACAAATTCATCCTGTTCTTTAATATAGCATAAATAAAAAATGATAACTTAACCTAACATACCTTGAGCCATAAATTAACATTTGAAGGGTCTTTTATCAAATCTTTTGGAATAAAATCTCTGAATTAAAACACAATTAGTCAGAAGAAATTTTTTTTCTGATGAAATAAATTTAGGAGAATTGATTAAATGATATACATTACCCAATAGGGGTAAATGTATCGAATCCCTTTGCCGCACTCCATGGAAGCCCTTTCTTTATTGCTTCATTCTTTTATTGTAATAAGAATAACATTTCAATGAAATTATTTTTATATATTGAAAAGAAATTTTATTCTTTTCATGATTACCTGAAGATCACGAGCTGTCAAGTCGATACCGAGAGCATAGCCTTGAATTTTTAGATTAATACATATGTAATGGTAATTACTATATTTAATGATAATATATCGGTATGTTTTTTAAAACAGTGTGTATATTTCTAAAACTTGTTTTGAGACTTGCCAGCAATATAATCAGATGCATCATTGGCTGTAATATCACGACCATTCTTTCCAATGACGACACCCAATTCGACTATAATAAATTGGTAAATCAATAAAAAAAAAAAAAAAAAATCTTTTATCATAAGATAAATAAATACCTTCATGATGAACTTCAGAACCTTTTGGTAGTTCCACACTACCACCTTGCAGTAAATATGAAGAAGTTGGTTTAAGAAAAAATAAAGGGGATGTGGGTACTGTACTACCAAGTTCTTTAGCATGATCGCTTTTTTTTTACGAAAAAAAAAACTTAAATCTTAATCGAATTAAAGTTCATTGTAATTCGATGTACATAGATAAGATACCTAAAATTACGACCAATAGCCACAATCTTTTTTCCTATTGATGTAAAGTTATTCATCGTAATAATGACCAAAGAAAGCAAGCAGATTTTAAGAGATGCGTGTGATCAGATCATATATCCAATATTAATAATGATAACGATAAGAAAGCAGGTTTTTTTTTTTGAACATAACGATAACTGATAATCGTAATCTGGTCAAATAGCAGATCACGTGAAGATTACCGTATTTGAGGAACCGTCGATGTTACACGACTGATCCTTCACCCGGTGTGCAACATATAAAAAAATTATTTTACAATACCCATTTTTATTATAATAAAATAACATGTACTAGCGGAATGATCTGTTATTGTAAATTTATATGTTGCACACCGGGTGAAGGATCAGTCGTGTAACATCGACGGTTCCTCCTGTTATTTTTTTACGTAACTATTTGTTGATTGTCTACGTTTCCGAAAGTTCAAATTTGTGTTGTCCGGCCCAAATTATACACTTAATTTTGCCCGAAGTGGTATTGTTGCACCGCATTAAAAATTGCAAAAATATCGATTTCCCTAAATTTTATAGTTTTGTAAATCACACAAATCGACGTAGTTGCATTTTTAAAAAATTCGGTACAAGTTTTAAATATAATAAATAATGCTTATTAAAACAAAAACATTGCTGAGATTTCTACGAATCAAATGGTACAAAAAGCATAAGAAACTAACAACTTACGAAGCTCAATGCCCTTAAAGATGGGCAACCACTTTGTCTCCTCAAGTTAGATTAGTTTTCAGTTTGTGAGATGCCATCTTGAAAAGTAGTTTATTAGCTGCGTATAAGTAAGAGCTTTCTGCAAACCTTACTTTCAGATACTAGTACATTATGAACGTGAAGAGTAAATTCAAAAGGAACTGTTTTTTTGTGATATATAGATCATTACGATTTTTTTTATTAAACTAATATTTTTAGAACAAAAAAATATTTATATATGTAGTACAGCCAGACGTCTTTAAGTACATGTCTTTTAGAATTATACTTTAACAATTATGCATTTAAAAAATAAGTGCATTTATAGAAATTAAGCATATACTTGGTTAGAATTCAAGTGTGCATATAGTGAGTGCATGTTCTTATAAAGAATACATTTAGAAAAGTCTAATTGTATATTAAACAAAAATTTGTGGTTCTTTATTTCAAATTTATAAATTTTTTTTTTTATTTTTCAATCTTTTATATTGATTATATTATCAATTTTGAATTTTTTTTGATATTTACTGATTAGTATACAAAGATAAACTTTTACTAGTTTTTTGATAAATTTATAGAATAATTTAGTAAAATTTTTAAAATCTTCAAGCAAGTTTAAAAGTTTTTTTTTATCTAAAGAATTGTGTTTTGCTTATTTTACTGATTATAAAATTTGTACAAGATTTATCAGATAAAAATTATAAAATCATCAAAAAACATTTTAATAAATTTAAATTAATATTTAATAATATACAACTAAAAGCATATATTTTATTTATAAAATTACTATATAATTAACAAAAAATAGTTACTAATAAATATTTATTTGTTATTAAATAAGAATTAAAAATAATTAATGTTATTGAATATACTATTTTTTATGTTACTATTCAGATAATAGAAAAACTAAATAAACATATATTAATACTTATAAAATTATTGAAAATAAAGAATATAACAGACAAAACAAAAAGAATAAAAGTAATAAACAGTAATTTTTCATTTTTGATCAACTCTTTCCAACGATCCCTCACACCAACTTTTTTCAAAAGTCTGATCTATGAAAACTATATAGTTATTGTATTTAAAATAAAACAAAACTCTACTTTGAAGTAACTAGGGAGGCTATTCACTGCATGCTTGGTTGTAAACTGAAAAGAGTTGAAAAAGATTCAAACTCTTGTAAGCGAAGTCCCTTGGTTAAACACAAGTACTACCAAGCAAAGAAGTAGTAGATAAGCTCTGGAGCTTTGTCA